AAAAAAAATACAATCGACATGAGATATCCCGCCCGATAAACATGGAGAGACTTCCATTCTCCTTTTAGCGCATTTCCGCTGTTGGAACGCAGCAAGTAAAATAGAAAAAAAAAAAAAATCAAGCAAACAGAGACGAAGGGGATATATTTAGAATACCGAGACTACTGGATTTTCGAGGAGAGGGTGAAAGTTCAAGGGAATTATTTACATTAAGAACCCTTCACTAATCAATTTTATCAATTAATTTATATTAACAATGTGACGATTTGATTTTACAGCAAGAACACGTTACTGGATTTATTTAATATTTTGATAACATTGAGGAAGATTTATTTAATCTGCATGACACATTGCATCGATTTTATCGAACTCATATCGCAATCTCCCCGTGATTATCATAATATCGAATGATAAATAAAAGCGTTGGTAATTTTCAATGAAATTTCGAAAACGAAATTTTCATTCAATGATTTTATGTCAATCCCTTGACTGAAAAATCGTCAGCAGAATAAGATGAACGGAAATTTTTGGTCGCCTGTTTACCGATCGTAGTAATGCGACACTATAAAAATTATTATCTGACGTATTTGTCGTAATAAAATGACGAATAAATAGGTAATGAGTGTAACAACATAATGAGTCCAATGTAACCCAGAAAATACGAGCATTTCGTTGGATTTATGTAATCACAAAGTTTAATGTCGCTCTAGTTGAAATGGAAAAATAGATTTTCAATTTGTTTAACGTGTTGGAAAAACATGGAGATGTAGGGGAGAGATCTCCATCAATTGAAACGAGAGTCAAACGATTGTCAAGGTTCCATATCGATTCGCGTGTCCCTCGAGCCCGATGCACAACCCCACGATAATTTTTCCATTCCTCGACAAGTTTATTCCAACATTTTAAAACCGAACATTCAATCCAACCTTCTACCAATTGCTCTCAATAAAAATCGACCCTGGTCCAATCATTTTTGAATAATATTATAACGCACCATTGTGCATTTCGTTCTCTTTCTTTCATTGAGAGAAATAAAACGAAGGAAATGAATCGACTGTTTAGTTATCTGTTTATTGTGCTTTATTCTGTACAACGCACGTGTGGACATGTCAACGGGTCTAAGTACACTCACTGGAAATGAGAATTTTTCAATTGTAAAAATTGACCTGAAATTTCTGTACCAAAATAACAAATTATATAATAAAATGATTTTTTTTTTCGAGGCCACTATTTAGGGACCATCCCAAAATTGAAGATTCGTAAATTTATTCTGCCTTTTTTAATGAGTAATTACCTCGCGATTAATTCGCGTTTTATCCGCGAAATTTTTGTGGAGTAATTTATTCAGCGAGCGAGATAATTGCCAATAAATTTCGCAGGAAAATTTTGTTATTTTCCTGAGAGTAAGATATCCATGGGACATGTACCTCATGAATTGAAGTAGAGAATTTAAAATGGCATTGATTTCATACAACCGCAAGGTAGAAGAGAAAAACACACGGTAATGTTAATTGACGTGACTCACGGGCTAGTGATTACCACACTGTTTTTCCTCAGAATGAGTTCACACGTATTTTCCAAGGATTGTCGATGAATAATGGAGTAATTGATGATTATTTTGTTAAATTTTAGGAATAAGAGGCACGACGATGTTCACTGGACGAACTCTCTGGCAAGACTGAGCCGCGCATCCGCTCGACGACCTACACCAATCAAACTTCCACCCTTTCCACAGACCCTGAGGTATTCCCCAGATTTACCATCATTTTCCATAACCCCGATTTTTCCCCAAGAAATAAATAATGATTTTATTTTGACATTTCTAGATCAATCACATTTCCATTTCCATCAATTCATCCACATGAAAAATAAATTCACTCCAAAGGGAATGTGTCAATATGTTAATAACAATTACTTAAAATATTCAATCACTGGGTAATTATAAAAAATCGGTGGTGAATGGAAATGAAAATGAGAGGACGATAACGATCGGAGGAAAATCGATGAGTTTGGTTTACCTTTTTGAAGAAAAATATTGATTTTATATTCATCCGAAGCCGGTGTTAGTGATATCCACTAGTGATATTGAGGATAAATATGAATTCAGTCCGTTGTCTAAGAGAGTCGCAATCCAACTGAACTGAACTGACGGCTTATCCGGTACCATTTGTATAAATATATCGCGTTTGCGTGGAGACGCAGAAATTACATTCGTATTTTCCCCCCGTCAGTTCATATCGCGAAGGCAAAACCGATTTCTCGATTTATCGGTATCAGAGGAGTTCTCCCTACCGGCAGTGGTAATCAGAAATCGCTGGGATGATAATAATATAAGACAGTGGTCCTCTTAAAAATAAATTTGAAAAATCGTTGGGAGAAAAAGTGAGAGAATTTAAAAACGCTTTCTAGATGTTGAAGACTGAGTCGAGGACACCGATGACAACTA